TCTTTTTTTTTTGCTTCTAAAATTAATTTTTAGATACTATGTTTTTAAGCAAAATTTTACTAAAATAGCGATCATCTGCCAACGTCGCATGTAAGACAAAAACAATTTACGGTGCATATGCAGCGTTTCAAGCTGCATTCCATGAGCTAATAAAACATGGGCAGTTCTATTTAAAAAATACACTTTGATCTTGCCTCGCTTTTCTGAGACACTCTGTATTATATAAGATATTTTCAAAAGGTGCGCACTTTGTGCGTCAACAACTTTTATATGAAACTATTTTTCGAAAGTTCAACACAAAGGAAATAATGGACTCTGTCGCACTAAAAAACCACCCTGTATATGTAAAACTGAAAAGGAAAATAACGGCAAACGCGAATTTTTTCAGCTGATCGTAAGAGTCAGGAATACTAAAATGATCATGTCCGTCTTTCTCCAGGTCATTCAAAGCAAACCGTGTGTCGTGAACTAAGATCAAATTTTTTCTTCTCCAAGATTTTCAATTCATTCAAAGCAGCAATTGTATTTCAAAGCTACCAATGTCAATTTCAAAAGGAGAAAATTTCAACTAAAACAGAAATGCGGAAGTTGTTCTGCTGTTTTTAAAACTGAGACCTGAAACCTGCTGAGAAATGCGTCCCCGATATTTAAAATTATTGTTTTAAAATGGTGTTTATCAATATTTTTTTCGATTCAATTGACGATGCTTCAGCAGGCTCGGAAAGTGAAACAATGTTTCCCTTTCAAAATCCTAAGCAAAAATGGATAATTTGTTTTCGAATGTTATTATTTCTTCCAACATCGAAAATATTAAGTTTTCTTTCCCTTGTATATTACGCTTAAGCTGATTTAGATGAGATGTAACGTCTACCATGAAATAAAAGTTTTGGATCCACTGATAGTCTGTGAGTTCTGGATGTTTCATTGAACGCCCTTTTCAAGGAGAAATGCTTTAATTTTGAGAAAAAAAGGACGCGAAACCAACCAACGTACCTTGTGATATGAGGCAGAGGGTCAGCGCACTCACTCTTCATTTCAAATATTTTTTTTTTTAATTGGCTAGCTTTAAGAGCTTTAGCTAAAATGGAGTTGATAATCGTAATCACTATTCCATAACTTTACAAATTTCATCCGAAAATGTTTGCACACAAAGCACATCTTTGTGAATGATACAATTGTAAACAAGTATCTGGTGATTATTTTTTTCTTTCAAAATAGCAATAAACCTTTTTCTTACGTCGGTCATACTTTTGGGCCCATCTGTTGAAATCGACACAATTTTATCGAGGGGGATATGGTGTTTGCCGATACACTCAATTACAGCATTTGCGATATATTCTCCACGCGTCTGATATTTGAGTGGCAATAATCCTAAAAGTTCTTTAGGGCATGAATGAGACGTAAATCTACAAAAAGTAAAACTTGCGCTGTATCATTTATGGACAAGACTCGTCAACTGCTATTGATAAAGCCGAAACCAATTGCAGATCTGCGATATGCTGGGTGGTTATACTCGAACACATTTTAATTGTTCTCTAATTTTTATCTCTCTCTTTAATGTTTTTGGCAGCAATGGTAACTCTTTAATTATTTTCAGAAAATCTGTTTTGTTCTTAAAATCCCGAAATATCTCTTCGGATGTATTTATAAAACAATTTTTATATATCCGTCGTCTGTGTACGGTTTTCCTATCTTAGAAATCTCTTGGCTAAAAACAAAACTTGTTAATTATTAAAATTATGAAAATTAAAATTTAAGAAAAATCTTTTTAAAAAACGTGTGTTTACGTTTACGAAAATTAATGAAATTAAACTAGAGGTTTTTTACGTATTTTTACAACAATATAAAATTTTAATTGTCTATCTATCTTTTAGCTTAAAACCAAAAATTATACATGTTCTCCATTTATAGAAAAATTACATTTTTTTCATTTTTCTTAAATGAAAATATTAGTTCGCCTTCCGTGGATATTTGTGCCAGAGCCGCACTTAAGGAGCCAAAGAGCCACATGCGGCTCTGGAGTCGAACTTTGCAGGCCACTGCTTTAGACTGATTTCAGAAGCCATACTGAGATGGTAAGACAAAAAGAGAAATACTGATGTTTTATTATTAAATTGCAAAATTCGGTACAACGTTGAAAATTGGGAACGTATCGTTTTGTCTTTAAATTCAATTTACACATTTTAAATCTCTAAAGCGTTAGCAGTTTTTTAACTACATCTTTTAAACTTGCTCATTATTACGGAAAACACCTTTTTATATTTACAATCATTCTAAAAGATGAAACTGAAATGGTAGTTTGATGCGTTATCACTATATAAGGTCTCTCAATTTGGTAATTGGGGTTAACTAATTATTTGCATATGCAGGTTGTTACACATTACGTTTTTCGTTTACTTTTCACCTCGTTTAAATTCATTATTTTCCCTCTCCACTCCAAGGAAGACTAGAGTTCCGAGGTTCTATGTGGGAGCGTGTGGATGCGCCTCCTAATAGACCGCCAGCGATGGCAGACTCCTAATAGGTGATA